GCTTCCAAGCCCCGGGTACGTGCCCCCTTCGTCTTTGATCCTGCCCCCATGTGAAGGATGTCTTCCTATCCTGCCACGTGTAATTGGCGCAGCCCTTCTAACAGAAAGAACATAAATAGTGGAAATGGAGGGAGCGAGCAGGATGAGAGTGGAGGAGGGGAGGGAGGAGAGAATGGGGGCAAGAGGGAGGGAGGGAGAAGATGGATAGTGAGAAGGGGTGAGGCGAGAGCGCGACTCCTGGGTCAAGTAGGATGAAAACCTTAGCGACAGCGCGATTCCAGAGCGCCGAAAAAACGGTGCGTAATCAAAGTGCAAGGAAGTTCCGAGCGAAAGCCCGATTCCTCAATCATTTGCGAGGAAGCTCAGGCGGGTGCCGTTGTTGTTGCTGCTGTTGCTCGTGGGGTAGCAGTGAAGTATGAGGCACCATGCTTCCCCTTGTAAGAAGCAAGGGGCGACCCCCAAGAGGGGCACTTACGATGAGAACCACGCTGGGCACCGAGGGGGAATATCAACAGCAGATATTCGTTATGAATGAGAACCCAGCACTAATCATTTCGTTGCTGTTCGCTCTCAGACGCTCGCGTGCCATTCAACATGTATCCCCACACTATTCGATACCCGCCCTCTTCGTCTTGAAGTCTGCGCCCTTTGGGGGATAGCTTCCTTCTCTGCCATGCGAGATTAGCGCAGGTCTACAAGCATAGATAACGTAAATACTGGAAGAGAAAGAGAGAACGAGAGAGAGAGAGAGAGAGAGAGCGAGAGAAAGAGAGAGAGAGAGAGAGAGCGAGAGAGCAGAAAGAGAGAGAGAGAGAGAGAAACAGAGCGAGAGAGAGAGACAGGGATAGAGAGAGAGGGTAGGAAGGGAGGGAGGAGGGGAGGGAGGAGGGAAGGGGGCAAGAGGAGGGATACGATGGAGGACGAGAGAGAGCAGCAAGCGGGATTAGCAAAAGGGGATGGCTCGGAAATCTCAGGCGAGGAGGCGGTTCCTGAGTAAAGTATGCGGAAGTTTCGAGCGAGAGCGCGATTCCAGAGCGCCGAGAGGGCGGCGATGTGTGAACAAATTGTAAGGAAGGCTCCAGCGAGAGCGCGGTTCCTCGAGATAACTGCAAGGAGGTCCCGATCAAAAGCTGGATCTTCCAAAACGTTGCGAGGAAGTGTCATGCGAGAGCCCCTGAGTTTTCTTTTCTAAAGAATAATTGTTGTTGACCCCCCTTCCCTGGGCACCATTGCATTTGTCAATTCAAGTGCTTCTCCCGGGGCTCGCACCCTTTTTTACCAGGGAAAGCGGGGTGTCACCAAACTGCGCCTTTGGCCCCCAGTTTACAACAACAACATCAACAATAACAACAACACTCATTTTAAGACTGTTCGCCCTTATCTGCTCGAGTGTCCAATAACGCGTATTTCCCAAACCCTCGATACCCGCCCTCTTCGTCTTCGATCGAACCCCTTTTGGGGGGTATACCTTTCTTCCCTGCAGGCCAGGCCTCGGCAAGCGGCGGGGCGGCCGCGGACCGTCGGCCTGGCCAGCGGCAGCGCTGACTGGCGGGGCGGCCGCGGACCGTCGACCAAGAGGGACGGGCAGGGGACCGACCACGACGACGACGACGACGTCGACGAGGACGGCGACGACACGACGACGACGACGACGGCGACGACGACGACGACGAGCGAAAGCGAGAGCGAGAGAGAACCACAGCAGGGCCACAAGGACACGAAGTAGGCCACGAAGGGCGACAGCGGGGACACGAAGGGAATGCGTATACGGCCACGAAAAGCGCGAACGAGCGGGGGCCACGAAGGGCAGATAATGCGGGGCCACAGAAGGCAACGATGGGGCCACTGAGGGTAGCAACTGGGCCACGTAGGACAGTGAGGGGACCACAAACGGCGACAGCGGGGCCACGAAGGGCATGCACATGAGGCCACAACGGGCGCGAACGAGCGGGGGCCACGAAGGGCATGCGTATACTGGGCCGCGGAGGGCAAGGACGGGGTCGATGAGGGCAGCATCGGGGCCACGAAGGGCAGCGAGGGGGCACGAAGGGCATGCATATGGTCCACCACGGGCGCGAACGAGCGGGGGTCACGAAGGGCATACATATATGGGGCAACGAAAGGCAGCGGGGGGGCCACGAAGGGATGCAACGGGGCCACGAAGGGCAGCGAGGGGGCCACGAAGGGCTGCAACGGGGCCACGAAGGGCTGCGACGGGGCCACGAAGGGCAGCGAGGGGGCCACGAAGGGCTGCAACAGGGCCACGAAACAAAACGAGGGGGCCACGAGAAGCTGCAACGGGGCCACGAAGGACAGCGGGGAGGCCACGAGGGGCTGCAACGGGGCCACGAAGGGTAGCGAGGGGGCCACGAAGGGTTGCAGCGGGGCCACGAAACAGCGAGGGGGCCACGAAGGGCTGCAAGAGGGCCACGAAGGGCAGCGAGATCCCGATTCTTAGGTAATCTGTGAGGGAGTCCTAAGCGTGAGCGCGATTCCTGGGTGCCTGGGTGTCGGGAGCGCGGCGCTTGAGTAATTTGCAGGAAATTCCAACGCAAGGGCGTTATTCTTCAGTAAATTGCAAGCAAGTCTCCAGCGAGAGCACGACCCCAGAGCGCCAGGAGAGCGATTCCTAAATATATTGAAAGGAAATCCCAAGCGAGAGCGCGATTCCTGAATCAACTGCGAGGAATTCTCAGGCGGAAGCGGGGGTCTTGGCTAAATTGTGAGGAAGTCTCAGGCGGTAGCCGTTGTTGTTGCAACCCGGGGGCCTAGGGCCCAGTTTGAGCTTCAAGATTTTCCTTGATAAAAAAAACAGGGTGCGAGCGTCGAGGGGCACACTTCGATGGAGAAAAAGCAGTATGCACCAGTGGGGGGATCAACAATAATTATTCTTCGGAAGTGAGTGTTCAACGTGTCCCGTGTGGTATTCCATCACAAGTTATTCCCAAATCGCGCTCTCGCGCGGGACTTCCTCACAATATATACAGAACCGCGCTCTCGCGTTGGAGTTCTTCGCCGTCGACAGTCAGGAATCACGCTCTTGCTGTGGATGTCCTCACGACCTAATTGGGAATCGCGTTGTCGCTCGAGACTTCCTCACGATTCATGCAGCACGCACGCTTCAGCAACCCGCCTGCTCGACTTGGCCGCCTGGGCCCGCCTTCCCGACCCGCCGGTTAGTGTCAACCCGTCCGATCTGCCCGTCTGGTTCTGTCACGTGTTTTCTGTTCCTAGCCCCACTCCTGCTACTCTCTCTCGTGTTCCGTCCTCCTCCCTCTCCCTTGCCCCTTCCTTCCATCCGTCCTCTCTTCCCTTGCCTTAGGGGCTGCACGGAATACACGTTGCATGTAAGAAAGATGCGCCCCCAAGGGGATACGATCGAAGACGAAAAGGGCGGGTACCGAGGGTTTGGGATACACGTGTTGAATGGCACGCGAGCAGGTCAGAACGAACAGTCTTCAAATGAGTGTCGTTGTTGTCGTTGTTGATGTTGTTGCTGCTGCTGTAGTTGTTGCGGTTGCTGCTGCTCTTGTTGAACATTATTTCTTCTTAAGAATAATTATTGTTGGGACCCCTGGTGCATGGCCCCCCCGCCGCGCCTAGGCCGCAGCCTCATTTTTATCATTTTCGTGAGGAAGTCTCAGGTAAAACGATGTGATCCAGATCCGGTTGTTTTGTTGACGCCCGCTTTCCCTTGCAACGAATAAGGCAAAGTGGACATTTCTTGTTCTAACATAACCAAACTTCAAGAAGCCCTTGCAAAAAATAAGGTAAAGTGAACATTCGCGCGCGCAAGACGAAATCCTTCCAAAACCTTAGTGTTCGTAGCGATTTTAATATAAAAACATCAAAAAACCAATGGTTTTTCCAAAAAAAAGTGTCAAAATTTCATCCCGCGCGCTCTTGCGGATTCGTAGGAAACCCAACACTTTTTAAACATTTCTGTCAAACGGGCTTTTGCGAGCAACTTTTTCGAACTTCTGCAACAACGGTTGCGCACCTGCCAGGGCCATCATCCCTGTCAAATAATACCATGCGGGACACATTCGTTTTTTCTTCGCGCGCGCACGCCGTCGTCGTCGGCCGCGGGGCCCTGAATAGTAGCCACGGTCGTCCGCATGCCACGAAGTGAAGTGTCCGAACGTCATAGGGCGGGAAGCTGGGTGTGGGTGGTGGCGAAGAGTCGTTTGGAAATTTGGTAGAGCTTGAACCGGCCCCCCCACAAAGTGGGGGTATTGGCGGGCGTCGTATGAAAACCCTGGCACTGGTGAGAACGGAGTGTCCCCACGTGCTAGTAATTGTTGTTGTTGTTGTTGTTGTTGGTGGTGGTGGTGGTGGTGGTGGTGTTGTTGCTGCTGCTGCTGTTGATGTTGTTGTTGGTGGTGGTGGTGTTGGTTGTGTTGTTGTTATGTGTATTGTTATTGTTGTTGTTGTTGCTGCTGCTGCTGTTTTTGTTTTCCTACGCCAGGAAGCAACAACACCGTTTGGAGACCCAAGATTTGCCGTAGCACGAGGGGCACCAGATAGGGGGCCAACCATGTTTGCTCAAGGAAGGACAGTTTCAACACCGAGCGACAAACCAGAATCATCCAGGCCATGGAATCCCACCTTCACCCGCGCACCCAGGCATGGTCTTGAGACCGCTCGGCCCCCGCGCTCGTCACTGCCGCTGCGCCGTCCTCCGTCCTCCTCCCGCCACCATGGGGCTGCGCTCCCCGCCCCCTGCGCAGCAGCCGGAGGTGACCCTGGAGTCCATGTCGTGCGTCCGGGTGATTGGCCGTGGCGGCTTCGGCGTGGTCAAGATGGTCCAGGCAGCGCCACGACCGGGGCGGTGCCGTTCTGATCTCGGCAGCGCGCCGGGGGGTGGCCCTCCGCGCTGCCTGCTTCCCCCGCGCCGCGGGCACAGCCTGGGCGGAGCTGGGGTCGGGGGGGGGGACGGGCGGACTCTCTTCGGCCCCCGTCTGCCCTCTGTCCCCCCTCCGCCCTCGGCCTGCCTCCGTTCTCCTCCTCCCTCTGGTGCCTCCCCCTCATTTCGCGGATCGCTGCCGGCTGAAGCCGATGGCATCCCCCCTTCTCTCTTCTTCATGGAGGGTTGGAGCCATGCTTGTCCACGCAATCGTTCTCTACCGTGGCCGTCACAGCACAGTCCTGGACAGCGAGTGTTCACGGGCCCGATCTGTGTTGGGTGAGCCCCAGAAGAGGCCTCGCATGCGAGAGATAGGGAGAGGTCGGCATCTCCTTCTCGGCGGAAGGTGGCAGACGTAAAACGGGGAAGGCTCCTCCGGCAGAAGCCGGCGGTCCACGGGCGGAAGTCGGCGGAAGGCCCACGAAAGCCGATGCGGAAGCGGATGTCGGCCCTCCAGTCCAGAAGCATAGAGATCATGTGCACTGTCCGTGCGTCCGTGGTTCCCGGAGCGGGCCACGCGCGTGCACACCTGCAGGGGGGAAGGAGTTGCCCCGGAAGTGGGCCCTCCAATCCGGAAGCATAGAGGTGTGCACTGTCTTCAGGAGGGGAAGAAACACACAGGCACACTGAATCGTCGACTCCCAGGAAGATATGGGAAAATATGGGAGGTGGGGGGGAGGACAACAACCCCAAAAATATGTGAAAATAGGGGGATCTGTTTAGTTATGTGTACTTATTTGTGTGTCCTGGGGCCCCTTCAGAGGTGTGCACTGTCTGTGCGTCCGTGGTTCCCCGGAACGGGCCCACGCGCGCGCACCCTATAGGGAGGAAGAAGCTGCCAGGGCCACCGCCTCGGGCGGTGGCGGCGGCCACGGCGTCGGGGGTGGAGTCTGGGAAGTGAGCTTAAGTGGGGCGTGCCCCTCGACAGGGGATCTATTCAAAAATAGGCAAACGATTGTCTGGGGACGAGGTTTTCAATATACAGTCGGGGCCCTGAAGACGGAACCTTTTTCGTTGGGGAGGGGCTCCGCGTTCCTTAAGTGTTTCGCAGCTTGCCTCAGGTTTCCCTTATGTTTTTGACAGGAAATCGAAGTTTAACTTATGGAAAAAGGGGCCTCGTTCCTTATTTAGGGTTCCTTAGGTCAAGGCCCCGACTGTATTTTGACCACTCTTGAATGTTTGGGATATTTTGTTGTATTTTTCGTCCAAAATCCGGACATGCCCGACCTAAACCTAAGTCAAGGGAGGAAAAACCACCCGGACCGGACAATCGGCGTTGGCGTTGAACCGAAACGGCCCTGGGCGTTGGCTAAACAGCCCTGCTCGGCTCGACGCCCTCTCTGGGCGCGCTTTTTGTTGAGCGACTTCGCGTGTCGGGGTGGCTGCTGTGGGCGTTGATCTTCGGGATTTTCTGCATGGGGGAGGGACGGCGGGAGGCGGGCGGCAGACACGGAAACAAAAGCACGGCGGGTGGCAGGGAGCACAACGGAGGAGGAGGAGGAGGAGGAGGAGGAGGAGGACGAGGAGGAGGAGGACGAGGAGGAGGAGGAGGAGGAGGGGAGGAGGAGGAGGAGGAGGAGGAGGAGGAGGAGGAGGAGGAGGAGGAGGCGCAGGCAGGGGCGCAGAGAGGGAGCCGCCCCCTGGGGGGGCGGGATCGCGGGGGCGGGGCCACGCCCTGCCCTGCCGCCCGGCCCCCGGGCTTTCGGATGGAGCGCTCCAGCTTGCGAGCTCCGCCTGCATCAATCAGGAGAGGAAAAAACACACAGACACAATTATCCGTCGACTCCCCAGAAAATATGGGAAAATATGGGAATTGGACGGGAAGACGAAAAATTGAAAAATAGGGGGCATAATCGTGTTTGTGTGTATCTATTTGTGTGTCCCAGGGCCCCTTCAGCCAAGCCGCCCTCTGCTTCCATCCCCTCCGAGAGCTTGCACTCTCGCGTCGCCTCGGCGCCTCGGCCCCCTCCGAGCCCCGCCGCGCCCTCCCGTGCATGGGGCCCCCTATCGGCCCCGCGCGCGGGGGGAGCGCCCGGCGGCCCCCCCTCGGAGCCCGCTGCCGCCGCCCCGTCGCGAGGGCTCCGCCCGCCCGCGGAGGGGGTCCCCCGTCCCGCCCGCCAGGGCCGCGCGCCCCCTGGGGCCCCGGGCCCCGCTCGCTCGCATGCTGGGGGGGGGGGGGATCCGCCCGCTCTCGCCCGCTCTCGCCCGCCCTCTTTGTGCCGTCCGCCCGTGAGGGCCCGCCCCGTGAGGGCCCGCCCGCCCGCCCCAGCCCCAGGCCGCCCCAGGGGGGGTCTCTGTCCACCCCTCTCGCTCGGCCTTGTGCTTTCGCGCTCCGTCGTATCTGCTCGACATACATATATATATATATATACATATACATATACACACATACATATACATGTACAAACAAACAAGGTTAGATGTACGCGTGCAGATGTATAGTCTGTGAAATATTATTGTTTTTTCCTCTGCTATCGTTCGGCTCGCCCGTTGCTGTCTGTGCTCAAGTCATAACAGGGGTTCATGCTCACCTGGGCCGAACTCTCAGGCGTCGCCCGCGATCTGCTGCCTGCGGTGTTCCACCTGCGGACGGCCCTGGCGGCGAGCGCGTGCCCTGCGTGCCCCTCGCTGGAGTGCCCGCACGTGGCGCTGCCGGCGTGCCCCGGCTTGCAGTGCGGGGACTGCTCGTGCCCAGAGCCGGCCGGCCTGGGCGGGCTGGGGCCGCTCCTCTGGGCGGGCGCGGGCATCGCGCTCGCGAGCGCCGTGGTCGGGGGCTTCACGGGCTTCCTGCTTGGCGCGCTCGTCGGCGTCCCGTGGCGGCGCCCTGCCGAGGCGGCGAGGCCGCGCGCGGCGGCGGCAGCGGCGGCGGGGCCCAGCTTTCTTGAAGCCGGGGGGCGGCCTGCCGGTGCGGGGCCCACCACGCCGGCGCAGCTGAGGGATGCCCACGCTTGACACACGGTGTGCGCAGGTTCTGGTTCATTATCCTGATGACCCGAACGGGCTGGTGTGGCATCATCGTGTCCTGCTGCATCGTATTAGCGGCGGGCGGTGGGTGTGCCTCACGCCCGACTTGCAGCTGCAGATCCACGATCTCAATGATCAGAGACACAAGGTGCTCTCGAGGAGGGCAGCCTTCCTGGCCAACGTCGCGGCCGCTTCGTACGTGTTCGACGACGACGCGGTCTCGGCCGCCCAGATGGAGGAGTTCAGGAGCCAGGCGAAGGTGCAGGCAGCGATCTTGGGGGACGGCGAGTTCGACGACGTCGAGGTCCACAAGTGGGTCGTGTACCAGGTCGACGATGAGCACTTCGGCAAGGAGGTGCCCGAGGAGGTGCTGGCGGACGGACAGAGGTTCGTCCATCTCGGGAACCTCGGTGTCGTGGACTGGCTCGGTGCCAAGCGATTCGTGGAGCGAGTCAGGGACGACAAGGTCGACGACTGGAAGGAGAAGCGAGAGTCTTCGGAGGGCGACTCGAGGATCCTCGGCTTGCATCGCAAGAGGGGGAAGCGGAACTTGGCCCTCTCGGATGCGGTCGACCTCTTCACGGAGGAGACGTTCGACGACTGGCCTTTCCCCCCGCCTAGGGCCGCCAAGGAGTACCTGGAGTCGATACGGGACGGGCCCGGCTCGATGGTGGTGTACGAGAGCGAGTGGAGGCAGGACAGTGGTGTTGGCGACGGTACGGCGGCGCTTCACGAGCACCGCAACAACACCGAGGTCCTGCGGCTGGCCCACCAGGTGGACCAGCTCAACGTGCCAAACCTGGCGTGCTTCGAGCAGTTGGTGCGCAGGCAGATCCAAATTGAGATGGCGGTCGAGAGGAACGCGAAGCACCCCGACTACGCCGGCCTGGACCTGGTCATGGGCGGCCCGACTACGGAGAGCGGTGCGGCGGCCAGCGCGGGCTTCCGCGGCTGGATCTACAAGAAGCAGGGAGAGCGTGCGCAGACCCTCAAGCAGTCTCGTCTTCTTCGTGAGGAGCGGCTCAACGAGGACAAGCGTCATAGGAGTGGCAAAGGTGGCGACGATCCCCCCCCGAAGAAGTCTCCCAAGAAGGGGGGGCCGAAGGGGGACGACAAGCAGGCGGGGAACTGACCCCAGTGGTCAGTTCCCTTCTGGCTGGGGCGGCTCTTCAGCATGTCCGTCCCCGCCGACAGTTTTGACCGTGGAGGCGCTGGCGTCCGGCGGCGACTCTGCAGCCAGAGGCGACATGGGGAGATCTTTCCGCTTCCGTCGCCGGCGGCTCCGAGCTTGGCTTCTCCTGGCGCTCCTCGATATGTTCAGCAGCGTCGGCGTGAGCAGCTCCATCGGCATCAGCGAGAGTGTGAAGCGGTTAGATCACTCAACCAGCTCGCTGCCGCAACTACTTCTTTTTCGAGCGTCTCAAGTACGCGGCGATTCGGAGGTGTGCGGGGGACGCCCTTGCAATGCGACGTCCTGCAGCACGTCGCTCGGCGCGTCAAGGCGTACGGCCCGCCGCCTCGAGACCTGGACGAAGACGGAGCCCTCGCGGAGCTCCTTGCGTCCAGGGACCTGTACTCGCAGGAGCCGAAGAACCTCGCCGAGTACGACATCTCGAAGCTCAAGATCTGCCGCTCGGGCACCGTGGCGAAGGACGCAAAGACGCTCCTGCCGCCCGAGACGGCGGGCCTCATCAAGCACTATAAGCATTGCGTGGAGCGTGATGCAGAGCAGATACTGGAAGCTCGGGCGGCTGTGGACTTTCCCAGGCCGTATTGGGACCCGAAGCTGGCGCGGGACCACGACAGCCTCTTCGAGCTCGTGGGCCGCCTCAGGGACGCCAACCTCATCGGCTTCCGCAAGAAGCTCAAGGCGAAGGTCGGCATCTTTTTCGTCAAGAAGAAGGACCCCGCGTGGATCAGGCTCATCATTGGCGCCCGGCAGGCGAACCGCTGTCACAAGACGCCGCCGAAGACACGGTTGGGTTCGGTTGGCGGCTTCTGCGAGCTGGACCTCTCGGACACCGCGTTGCAGGACCTCGGGGGCTTCGGCGGCATCTCGGAGATCTGGGGCGGCACCAGCGACGTCGACGACTGCTTCTACCAGATGCTGGTCGAGGAGCTGGGGTCCTGGTTCGGGATCGACCTCCCGCGGGCCGCGGGTGCCTGGGGGGTTACCCAGGTCTATGACGACGACCTGGGTCGACGCGTGGCGGTCGGGCCTTCTGAGGTGGTCTACCCTGTCTTCCACGGCATGGCCATGGGGTGGGCGTGGGCGCTGCACTTCGCGAACGAGGCCATCTCCCACCTGGCCACCAAGAGCGCGGTGTGCCCCCGCTCGCTGGTACGCGAGCGGACGCCGGCCCCAGTGCTGCGGGCGGGGCAGGCCGTGTCGGGCGTGTACGTGGACAACTTCACCACGCTCGCCGGCGACCGCGAGACCGCGCTCGACTCGGTCCAGAGGTTCAGGCACGCGGCGGAGGAGGCGCACATCGGCACCCACGTCGACTCCGAGGTCGCCGTGGTCTTCGAGAGCCTCGGGGTGGTCTTCGACGGGAAGCGGAGGTGTCTGCGCCACGTGCCGCGACGCGCTTGGCGCGTCTACCTGGCCACTCGGGCCCTTCGGCGACGCCGCTGGATCCACGGCAACGTCATGGAGATCTGGCTGGGGCACGTCGTCAACCTGTTCAGTCTGTCTCGGCCGGCTTTGGCGTGCCTGCAGGCAGTCTACCCCTTTGTCGCGGCGGCGCGCGGGAGGCGCGTCCGCCTTACGCCAGCCATCAAGAATGAGATGCGGCTCGTGCAGGGGTTGCTGTTCCTGTCCGAGTACGACCTGGGGGCCGATTTCAGCCACGAGGTGTACTGCTCGGACTCCTCGAGCTTTGGGTACGCCTTGCTGTCGACCACTGCGACGAGCTCGGAGCTTCGTGACCTCACCCGCTATCGTGAAAGATGGCGGTTCAAGCTCGTCGACACGCTGCCCGAGGTCGGGCTGCTTCGTCCAGAGTGGGTCGAGTACGCGGGGGGCCGCCTCGCGCCTGGAGGATCGTGGGAGTTTCCTGAGGGTGCCTATGCTGACGTTGCTGTGCGAGGGTCTCGACCCTGTGCCATCGGCCCGCAGACGCAGTTTGGGCGCTCGCTGGAGGCAGCTTCCCAGGAGCGGCCTTTTTCCCGGCCTCGAGTCGGGCGCCGCTCACGGGAACCGCGGCCGCGGCCCAGGCAGGAGGAGGTCGAGGTCCCGAGCGCCGTGCCCCCCATCGACCGCTGCTGGGACGATCTCCGAAGGTGGAGGCATCTTCGGGTCGGGCGCTGGCGCTGGACAGAGGAGCACATCAATGTCAAGGAAGGCCGCGTGTCCCTCTTCGGCCTTCGCCGAGCGACTCGCAGCCGCCACAACCACGGGAAGCGGGTCGCCTCTATCGGGGACAACCTGGTCTCAATCTGTGCCTTCGAGAAGGGCCGCGCGAAGTCGTGGGCCCTCAATGCGCTGGCGAGGCGGGCGGCTAGTTACCAGATTGCTGCTCGGATCCGCTGGCACTCACGGCACGTCGAGAGCAAGCGCAACGTCGCCGATGCCGGCTCGCGCCTGCACGAGACTGGGGGAGGGTCGACAGTCGGCCCAGTCGGAGTTTCAGAAGATACCACATCATGTACCATGCGATCCGACACTCCCCCGGCCTCATCTTCGGTCCCTCGGCTCGGCGGTGGACGACACCTCCGAGCGCCTTTTCCAGTGCAGGAGACCGTGGCTCTCGAGCTCTTTGCCGGCGAAGCGGGCCTCACTTGTGCTCTCCGATCCCGCGGGCTGCGGGTCGGGCCGCCGTTCGAACTGGAGCGTGGTGCGAAATTCGACCTCACCAGGAAAAGCACTCAGAACCTCATCAAGTCCTGGATCCTCTCGGGCCTCATATGGTACATCCACTTGGGTACCCCATGTACGGTCTGGTCAGTGGCGAGGCGAGGGGTGTCTAATCTTGGGAAGGCTTACGCTAAGGAGGCGGTGGCGGTGGAGCTGGCTCTCTTCACCGTGGAGGTCTGCGTCTTGGCCTCTAGATGTGGGGTCCTCTGGAGCCTGGAGAACCCCTCGTCGTCAGGTCTCTGGGAGTTCAAGCCTGTCGTGGACCTCATGGGGCTCCCCAAGGTCTTCAAGGTCTCCTTCCACATGTGCCAGTATGAGGTCCTGCACAAGAAGCCCACCACAGTGCTCACCAACGTCCAGGCCCTGCGTGGGCTTGAAGCTAAGTGTTCTGGGGGTCATGTGCATCGCGTCCTTGAAGGGCAGGAGCGAGTCTTGGGAGCAGATGGAGTCTGGCGGTCACAGTGTAAAACAAAGACAGCGGGAGCCTATCCGTCATCATTGTGCTCGAGATGGGCTTCTCTCATTTTTCAGATTGCACCAGCCGCTGCGTGCGGCTCACAGCCAAGTTTTGTCAACCAGTGGGATGAAGATCTTGCCTCGCTTGTCGGACGGCGACGGTATCCAGCCGTCCAGGGAGCGCCTCCGCGGAGTGGTGAAGGGAGCGATTCTGAAGTCCCCGCTCGAGCGACGGACTACATCCGCGACCACAGGCTACGGTTTGGCCGCCACCGCCCGCTCTGGGCCGCGGAGGCAGAAGGCACTGAGGAGGCAGGCGGTGGCCGCTAGAGCTGCTGCGCCTCCCGATCGCTTCCTCCAGGAGAGCACGGCTGGCGATAAGGCGAAGGACATCTACCGCCGCGAGCTGGAGAAGTTCTACGACTGGGCCGAGCAGCAGAGCCGTCCCGTCGGATCCCTCTCGCTGGCGACGACGATGAAGGAGTATTTCTTCAGCAAGTTCCAGGAGGGCTATGGGCCGAGCGTCGGCCGCGCCGTCTTCTTCGGTTACTTGTTGCTGAAGTCCAACAACTACAAGCAGGAGCGGGAGCGCCTCAGCGACGTCGAGAGAGCGATCGCCGGCTGGGCCAAGCGGTCCCGCGAGGTGGTGAAGGACCCTGCGCCCCAGGAGGTGCTGCTGGACATGGGCGCGTGGATGCTGGACAACGGCCGCGGTGAGAGCGCGGCGTGCTTGGCCCTTCAGCTGGACGACTACGGGCGCCCGTCCGAGAGCGTCGAGCTGGTGGTAGGCAACATGCTGCCGCCTGTCCCAGGTGTCCGCGGCACGGCTTCGCGGGACTGGGGCGTCGTCTTCGCCCCCGCGGAGCTCGGCTTCGTCACTAAGACTGGCCAGGTCGACGACTCCGTGGTGTTGGGCAGTCCTTCGCGGCCGTGGGCTCCGAAGGTGGCTGCCGCGCTGGTTCAGCGCGTGACGCAGACTTCCGGCGGCCGCAGCATGCCAGCAGATCCTCGCGCTCCTCTTTTTCGCAGCTTGACCTTGGCAAAGTACGAGCACGACTTCAAGGCAGCGTCGAAGGCCCTCAACTACACTAAGCTGAACGTGACGCCTCACACCGTCAGGCACACCGCCCCGTCTCACGACATCTATCACAAGCATCGGAACCTTGAGCAGGTGCGTCGGCGCGGCCGTTGGGCGGCCAAGAAGAGTGTGACCAGGTACGAGCGCCATGCCAAACTGTTGAAGCAGTACAACAAGCTCGACCGCGTCCAGATCTCGAGGATGAACCGTTCAGCCCAGTCGTTCCCAGACAAGTTGTTGAGCTACCTGAGGAAGCGCTGAAGTGATGTCGTCTTGTGGGCCTTCCTCCTTTGGTTCTACCCGCCCGCGTACCACCCTTTCATCGTGTCCTTGACCCAGAGTACCCATATGGGCGACTGTATGGGAGTGCCGAGCTCGGTGGCAAAGAGTACCAATTCATGCGTGACAGGAGCTCTTTGGACGGAACAGTGCGGTTGTTCAGATGACCATCGTGAAAATGAGTGCAATGCTGAGGCCAACCTTGTTTTATATAGCCTTTCGGCTGTCTCCGTCGGCCTGGTTGTGGGTTGGCTCTCTGAGAGGTTCTGGGCGTGCGCTTAGATCTTAGAGGAATGTGAAATATTATTGTTTTTTCCTCTGCTATCGTTCGGCTCGCCCGTTGCTGTCTGTGCTCAAGTCACCCGCCCGCGTACCACCCTATATAAAGAGGGGAGTGCCGAGCTCGGTGGCAAAGAGTACCAATTCATGCGTGACAGAAGCTCTTTGGACGGAACAGTGCGGTTGTTCAGATGACCATCGTGAAAATGAGTGCAATGCTGAGGCCAACCTTGTTTTATATAGCCTTTCGGCTGTCTCCGTCGGCCTGGTTGTGGGTTGGCTCTCTGAGAGGTTCTGGGCGTGCGCTTAGATCTTAGAGGAATCTACCTCTCTCTCTTTCTCTTTATTTCTTTCTTTCTCTCTCTCTCTCTCGCTCTCTCTGCTCAAACATGATGATTACTGATGCCCTGTCTTCACATACTCTTTAATCATATCAGCGCCACTCGCACTTCCACTCATAGTGGTACGAGTGGTCTTGCCTGCTATTGCTGCTTTGTTTTGCTCTGGCTCCTAGTCCGTTTCTTACTCCAACCGTTACTTCTTCTCTGATTTCTCTTTGTCTTCCTCGTGCCCTTCCCCCTCCTTTTCCTCGGCATCGTTTGTGCGAGCGTACAAAGTATGTGATGTGCAAATCGAGCCCCGCGCGAGTCAAACATGCGTGCAAGCCGAGCTCAATGCGAGTCGGACTTCCGTGCCGGTCAAACCGGTGCCGTCTTTCCCCTCGCCCCCAGCGCTCCTCCGTAACGCCGACCGCAGGGGCCTGCGGGCGTCTGCGCTCGTGCACGAGGTGCGGTGCCGCCTGGCGCAGAGCCCAGGGACTCATCCGTAGCCCCTCGGCTCAAGCCATCTGGTATAAAGCCATTCTCCCTGCGCAGTCAGCCCGCCCAGCAAGGACGAGCGGCTCTCCGAGGCCGCCCGCCGGCGCAGTGCCGACGCGGCCCTCCAGGGCCCTCGCAGCCTCATCGTGCGCCCCTGCGGAGGGCTTCTCCGAAGAGCTTAGGCGACCCGTCCTCCTCCTCCTCCTCCTCCTCCTCCTCCTCCCTCCTCCTCCTCCTCCTCCTCCTCCTCCTCCTCCTCCTCCTCCTCCTCTTTCCCTCCCTCCTCCTCCTCCTCCTCCCTCCTCCCTCCTCCTCCTCCTGCTCCTCCCTCTCCTCCTCCTCCTCCTCCCTCCTCCTCCTCCTCCTCCTCCTCCTCTCCTCCTCTCCTCCTCCTCCTCCCTCCTCCTCCTCCTCCTCCTCCTCCCTCCTCCTCCTCCTCTCCCTCCTCCTCCTCCTCCTCCTCCTCCTCCTCCCTCCTCCTCCTCCTCCCCCCTCCTCCTTCTCGTCTCCTCCGCCTCCTCCTCCTCCTCCTCCTCCTCCTCCTCCGCCTCCTCCTCCTCCTCCTCCTCCTCGGGTCGCCCACGGCCCCGGGGGAAGCCGCCCCTGGCCCCTGCTGTGCGGGCTGCCTGCAGCGCCTCGTCGACGCCTGGGCCAGCGGGCTCGCCGCCCGCAGGGCCCGCAGAGGCACTAAGGACGATGCGGAGCGTGCCCCCCCCGCCGGGCCCGTGGGCCGCCTCTGCCCTGCCCGCGCGCGGCGCCCGCGCTCCCCTCGCCCTCCCCGGACGCGAGGCCCGAAGGAGAGGCACCGGCACAAGGCAGAGACTAGATTCAGAGCGTGAATTACCTACCCCGCTTTCGCTTCCAGGCAAAACCAAGCCATACCACGCGCCTCCTCGTCAAGCGGCCTGACCAGTACAGGCTGCAATTTGGCATCGCTCGGTATCTCTTGGAAGCGAGGGTGGTCAAAAGCGAGGTAGGTTTGTTTGCCCCCTATATATGGGAGCTCTGGGCAGACAGACGCACGGCGCCTCCCCGCCGTCTTCGGAGGAGAGCAAAAAAGCCACATGAGTACACAGGAACTTTTGGGTCTCCGCGCGGGGTTCCTGGATCCGCGCGGGGCCCTCCGGGCGGCGCTTCTCCGGCGCCGCCCCAGGCGCGCTCGGCGCGCCAGGGCGGGGGGTGGCGCGCAGATCCAAGAAGTCCGCGCGGAGCGCCAAACGTTTATGGTTATGTGGTCTTTCTTCTTCTACTCGTCCTCCTCGTGTGCCGTCTTCCTCCTGCCCTCTCCCCCACTGTCGTCCAGGGGTTCGGAGCCAGACCCTGCGTCTCGAGCCAGCCCTTGCCGCCTGCAAGAGGGACTCCACAGACGTATCATGCCGTTGCAATGATCTGTTGAGGAATGTTGTGCCCGAAAAGAGCAACAAACAGAAACTTTGGGAGCTCCGTGCGGATATCTTGGAGCTGCGACGGGCTCCTTCTGGCTGCGCCTCCAGCGCCGCCCCTGGCACTTAGCGTGCTGGGGAGGGGGGTCGGTCCAGCACTGATCGGAGAAGTCCGCGCGGGCCTCCGAAAGTTTACGCCTGTGCCGCTGTCTCTTCTCGGAGGGCACCAGCTGTACACCCACGCCGGTCTTGGCCAGGCCGATCCTGGGCCCAGCATCGGTGCGCCTGCCCTCCTGCAGAAGCCACGCGGCCGCGGCCGGCCAAGGCTGAGCGATCCACCGGGTGTCAGTCAAGGGAGGAACAAGAACCACCCGGACCGGACAACTGGCGTTTACTAAGCGGCCTTGGGCGTTTATTGAACAGCCCTGCCCTGTCTGATTCCTTCTCTGGGTGGCTCTACTGGACGGCTTCGCGTGTCGGGGTGGTTCTGATCGGGGTGGATCTTCCGCCCTCTTTTGTCAGAGACCAGCGCGGACGCCATCGCCGCACGAGCCTGCCGTACCTGTAGGAGAAGAAGGGAGGCGTGCCAGAGAGGGCCGTCGGCCTCTCCATGCTGAGCCTGGCCAGGATCGGTGTCGGTGTGCACCTGGCGGGCAGTATCTGTACCCAGGCCCACTGCATCTCAGCGTCTCGGCTTATGATGTTCCAACCTACTTCGGCCCTGATCACCAGACATCAACGTCGAGCACCAAGGAAGTACCGAGACTGGATGATGTTCACGGGTCGGGTCCCGGGAGGCGATATTCGTTCGACGCTTTTGTGATACCGTTCTGGGTGCTCGAAGTTATTTTTGGGACGTGGTCCCTGAATTCACTGGGAACACCATAAGTCTCGGCCTCCCTTCCCCAGCAACCCGAGGCGCAGTGGATGTGGATGAACATCTGCCCCCAGGAGGCTCGATGCTGATCCGTGCGCGCTGCGCAATGGCCTCTGGGCGCCCCTTCCCAGAACGTCCAAGACGCAGCGGGTATGAATACACATCTTGCCCGCATAGTTGGCGTCCTCCCATCGGCGGCGAGGGAGGGGGGGGGGAAGTGAGAAGGAGCAGGCCTTCTCAGAAGGCTCGGAAGTCCCCCAGGCTTCTGAGAGGTTTTCTAAGCCTTCCCCTGAAGACAGAAAAACCTCTCAGAAGGCGCGAGGGCTTCTGAGAAATCCCGCCGCCTTCTGAGAAGACCTTCTTTTATGATGTTCCAACCTACTTTAGCCTTGATCACCAGAAAGCATTTCCACCACCACCGAAACTCGAGGGTTTTCACGTGTCGGGCCCTGGGAGACACTCGTCCGACACTGCTCCGACACGCTTTCGACACTCTTTCGACACTTCTCCGGGGTCTCGGGATTATTTCTGGGATGCGGTCCTTGAGTACGATGGGGGCAACATACAGTCGACCCTGCCAGCTCAAGGATACCCTTGTGTCCTGTGCCTCCCGGCCCATGCCGCCGACATTCCTGTGGCAATGTGTCCCTCGGAAAGGCTCTTGTGTCCTCTCGCGTGCCCTGCCTCATCAAGTCCGACTGCAAGCCTTCTCCTTCTCTTTTTATGGGGGGGAACTATTTGTTTTTGCCGTCGAAAATCTGCCTGTAGGGGGACACGCCCGACCTACAACCCTCGTCGAAATTGAACGCAAGTTTTTTCCACCCCCGTCGCTCCCAAATTTCAATGTTCATCGACAGGCGCATCGCGGCCGGCGGGGTCCGAAGAAAAACTCGAAGACGCCGGCGTCGGCGTGAACACTGAAATCGGGGGTCGGGGGGCGCCGCCAGGTCGCGGCGAAAACTTGCGCTCAATTTCGACGAGGGATGTAAGCCTTCTCCTTCTCGCTTCCCCATCGACAATCGGCCTGTAGGGGGACACGCCCGACCCTGACCTTCCAGGAGGGCTAAAACATAGCACCCGATGTAAAAACCTATCCCAAAGCTATTCTACGTCTTGGTTTTAGGCTGTTTCGCTCAGCTTTTCAGGTTTTTAGGCCTCCAGTGCTAGAAAATAGCTCTCTGGAAGGTCAGGGGGCCCAAGCCGTCTCCTTCTCGCTCCCCCCCCCCCTCGCTCGCCGCCGATCCCGTCTGCCGGAGCCCCCGCACGCCCGGCCGCCGCGCGGGGCGCCCGGAGCGCCGGCGGGCGCCCGCCTCGCGCGGGGGGCGCTCGCCGCCGCGGCGCTGGCGGCGCGCAGGCCTGGCATCGCTCGGACGTGTGCGTTTTTTTTCCTCGGCGAGGACCATCGAGGAGCAGCCTTGACCATTTGCCGAAAAAGCCACGCACGAACCCCCCCAACAAAAAAAAAAAAAAAAACAGGGAGTGGACGTCCGAGCGATGGCGAGCAGGGGGGCGGCGCCCCCGCGCGAGAGCGGGGCGGCGAGGGCGGCGGCGGCCCGGCCGACCGAGCATCCCGGCGGCGCCCACGAGGAGGTGGCGCTATAGGGGGGGGGGTGGTCCGTCCGAGCAGTCGAGTCGCCCCGGGGGGGTCTCGGCTGCTCACTGGTTCCCGTAATTACGAGTCGCCCCGGAGGGGTCTCGGGCGGGAGCAGCCCTCGTGAATCGCCCAGGGGGGGTTCTCGGGGGCGAGGTAGCCCGGGGCGGGCCTCCAAGGACATTTAAAAAGAGAGACCCCGGCAAGTCTACTTTCGCAGGCTTAGAGGTTGACGCCAACACCAGTATTGGTGGTGCGCCTCCACCGAGGGAGGGAGATCCCGATCTCTGCGATGGTAGTAATATATTCTGGCGTCCAGGGTGGCCGAACTATTACCACCAACGCCGAAATCTAGGATCATCCTTCCCCTGTGGAGGCAACCCCCTGTGTTGGTGTTGGTGTCCATTTCCAGGCCTCCAATACTTGCATGGACGGGGGGGTGGCTGAACCTGGAGCAAGCCCCAGACGACCTGCACGTGCGGAACACATGCAAGTCGAAAGGCACGTGCACGCTAGTTTTCGTTTGAAGAGGGGCGTGTGTGTGTGAGTGTGTGTGTGTTTGTGTGTGTGAGTGAGTGTGAGTGTGTGTGTGTGTGAGTGTGTGTGTGTGAGAGAGTGTGTGTGTGTGGGGGGGGGGGGGGGGGGCGAACGCCATGCAGGTAAACTTGCCTGAGCCCCCCAACAACAACAACAACAACAACAATCATTTGAGACTGGGGACACTCCGTTCTCACCAGTGCCAGGGTTTTCATAGGAGGCGGGCAATACCCCCACTTTGTGGGGGGGCCGGTTCAAGCTCTACCAAATTTCCAAACGACTCTTCGCCACCACCCACACCCAGCTTCCCGCCCTATGACGTTCGGACACTTCACTTCGTGGCCTGCGGACGACCTTGGCTACTACACTGGCGCATGGTTACAATGACTTCTTGTGGTAACATCTTGTGGAAACTAGCTTAGTATACGACTTATACCCCTGTTCCAACAATGGGCACGTGTACCGTTTTCCGACGTTTTAACGTTTCTGTACCACACAAGCCAAGACCCTTATTTTGACTGGTATCACGTGCGTGGCGCCAGCATACCACAGGACTTGTTTCCGTTGTTGTGAGACGATATATGCTCATTCTTGTTCTGTGGTTCTCGTTCCGGCCTCAATGTGCAATACTGGCTCACTCGTCGACGAAATACACGTGACTACCTCTCTCTGGTTGGAGGTCCTGATGGTTGTGGTTGTCCCGATAATTGTCGCGATGAGTGTCCCGATGATTGTCCCGATTGTTGTTCCGATGGTTCTCCCGATGGTTGCCCCGATGGTGGTCCCGATCGTTGTCCCGATGGATGTCCCGATGGTTGTCCCGATGGTTGTCCTGATGGTTGTGGTTGTCCCGATCGTTGTCCCGATGGTTGTCCCCATGGTTGCCGCGATGGTTGTTCCGATGGTGGTCCCGATGGTTGTCCCCATGGGTGCCCCGCCGGAGGAGGAGGAGGAGGAGGAGCAGCAGGACAAGGCGAGGCGGACGCATACGTGCTCTGGAAGCATACTAAAGAGACGAGTCTGTGTGCTCATCGTCTTCTGGCATGCGCCTGTCCCTAATGGCACGCATCGGGCGCAATACTGCAAGCTGCGCTCCTGGCACCCATACATCAGGGGCCAAGTGTCCCAGCATGGTGCCGATACGCCTCCTCGCGGACACATCGCCCGTGCGTCCGTGGGGCGCCAATACCGCCAGGACGCCCTGGACATGCGCCGGCATACCCAGATCCACACGGTAATCCATGACATTCCCATACTCGGACTGCCCGAAAGAACGCCATACAGGCATGTGCCACCAATGATCCTGCTTCGGGAACAAGGTGATACCATCCTTGACGTCGTGGGAGGCATTCCACAGAGCCATACATGGCGGCTCCATGCCCATGGATGCCGTGTGTGTTGCCACAAATACATCCAGGCTCGCCATGCGCCTGTATGACAGACCTGATACCACCTCGGAATGCACGTGAATACGCAGGAGCTGCAACAGCCTGCGCAAGCCAGCATACACCCAGCCGCCGGGTCGGACGAATACGTGCGAACTCCAGTTCGCTATACCAGCTTGGGTGCACAGCCGATTGAATACTTCCGCAAGTGTGCCCAGATACTGCGCGGCTGGATCTTGGAAACCATCAAAGTTGCCGAATACCAAGCCAGGGTAGAAGTATACAGCGAACGCCATCCACTCTGGGGTCTCGATGCCTCCCATACGCCGCTGGTTCTCGACCATGCCGTTCTCCTTTGAACGGCGCGTGCTCTCCGCGGTCGACACACACAGGCATACACCCGTGAGTCCCTGCCACATACACGGAAAATACACTGCGGTCGCGAACCACGTGGTCTCGCGCAGCACCTTTCAGGAGAGAAAAAAGTACCAATACCACCAGCTAAGGGGGTGGCCGCGCCTTCCCCTCGAGCTGGTGGCACCTCGTTCCAGGCACTCTCTGGAGGCATGCCCGGAAGGAACCACCAGCTCGAAGAGTGAGCGGCCACCCCCCTAGCTATGTGGTACTGTTGTCTCTCCTGAGCCTTGAGCCATTGGAATACCAATCCGTCCCCGCCGGGTGACACAGACCAGCGCCTCATACCCTCGGCCACCTCCTCGTTGGATGGGATATACTCCCCAGTCTGTTCGTCCCACTGCCCTGCCATTGCCAACAATACGGACGCGCGTGCAAATATGGAAAGAGATACGACAAGCAATATACGACTGGAGCCCCAATGGCTAAGGCACACACATAATGCTGTGGGAAAGTGCCAAAGTCCATACGAACGGAAACGAAGCACATACATGTGTCAAACTGATCAGACAGCTCAATCTCACAAGCAGGTGAGGTTGATGGCGGCTCCTGTTTCAAAACAAGAGTTCCCGATGAGGCACTCTGGAGGGGCCCAAGGGGGGGCGCCGTGAGAGGCGGGGCCCGAGGCCACTGGGGGCTGGGGTGGGCCAGGGGGAAAAGGCCTCTTGGGGCCTCTTGAAGGCCTCCTGGGGCAACCTATGGCGCAACCAGTAGGGGGACGTTTTATTCTCGGCGGCCGAGGGCGCAACCTATGGCGCAACCAATAGGGGGGCGTTTTATTCTCGGCGGCCGAGGGCGCAACCTATGGCGCAACCGCAAGGGATTATGGCCCCTGGCAGGCGCGCGAACCCCGTTGCAAGAGCGTGCGAAAGTAGCTCGCGCGAGCTCATGTAACATAAATGTTGGAAAACCATTGGTTTTTTTAGGATTCGGACAGCGCGCGCGGGTGGAAATTTTGAAAAGTCGTGCAGGTGTTTTTCGAGGACCTACGGTGCGATTCGTGTGATTTTATGATGCGCGGTGCTAAAATTCTTAAGAAGCCCAATGGTTTTTGGAGATTTCGGCGTGCGCGCGCGAAGAAAAAACGAATGTGTCCCGCATGGTATTATTTGACAGGGATGATGGCCCTGGCAGGTGCGCAACCGTTGTCGCAGAAGTTCGAAAAAGTTGCTCGCAAAAGCCCGTTTGACAGAAATGTTTAAAAAGTGTTGGGTTTCCTACGAATCCGCAAGAGCGCGCGGGATGAGATTTTGACATTTTTTTGTTGAAAAACCATTGGTTTTTTGATGTTTTTATGTTAAAATCGCTCCGAACACTAAGCTTTTGGAAGGATTTCGTCTTGCGCGCGCGAATGTCCACTTTACCTTATTTTTTGCAAGGGATTCTTGAAATTTGATTATATTAGAACAAGAAATGTCATTTTATAGTGTTTTTTGCAAGGGAAAACGGATTACAACAAAACAACCGGATCTGGATCACATCGTTTTACCTGAGGCTTCCTCACGAAAATGATGAAAATGTAGCTGCGGCCTAGGCGCGGCGGGGGGGCGTGCACCAGGGGGCCCAACAATAATTATTCTTTAGAAGTAATAATGTTCAACAACAACAACAACAACAACAATTACTAGCACGTGGGGACACTCCGTTCTCACCAGTGCCAGGGTTTTCATAGGAGGCGGGCAATACCCCCACTTTGTGGGGGGGCCGGTTCAAGCTCTACCAAATTTCCAAACGACTCTTCGCCACCACCCACACCCAGCTTCCCGCCCTATGACGTTCGGACACTTCACTTCGTGGCATGCGGACGACCGTGGCTACTATTCAGGGCCCCGCGGCCGACGACGACGGCGTGCGCGCGCGAAGAAAAAACGAATGTGTCCCGCATGGTATTATTTGACAGGGATGATGGCCCTGGCAGGTGCGCAACCGTTGTTGCAGAAGTTCGAAAAAGTTGCTCGCAAAAGCCCGTTTGACAGAAATGTTTAAAAAGTGTTGGGTTTCCTACGAATCCGCAAGAGCGCGCGGGATGAAATTTTGACAATTTTTTGTTGAAAAACCATTGGTTTTTTGATGTTTTTATGTTAAAATCGCTACGAAAACTAAGGTTTTGGAAGGATTTCGTCTTGCGCGCGCGAATGTCCACTTTACCTTATTTTTTGCAAGGGATTCTTGAAGTTTGGTTATGTTAGAACAAGAAATGTCCACTTTAGCTTATTTTTTGCAAGGGAAAACCGATCGTAACAACACAACCGGATCCGGACTCCCCCGTTTTGCTTGAGACTTCCTCACGAAAATGATGAAAATGAGGCTGCGGCCTAGGCGCGGCGGGGGGGTCGTGCACCAGGGGCCCCAACAATAATTATTCTTTAGAAGTAATGCTGTTCAACAAAAAAGCAGGCTCCGAGAGGGGCGGCCCTCTGAGGTCCGTGCTTCGAGGAAACCCAACAGGCTGTACCCTGACCTTCCAGAGAGCCATTTTTTAGCACTGGAGGCCCAAAAGCGTGAAACACTGAACGAAACATCCTAAAACCAAGACGTAGAATAGCTTTGGGATCGGTTTTACAGTCCGGTGCTATTTTTTTGCCCTCCTGGAAGGTCAGGGTCGGGCGTGTCCCCCTACAGGCCGATTGTCGATGGGGAAGCGAGAAGGAGAAGGCTTACATCCCTCGTCGAAATTGAGCGCAAGTTTTCGCCGCGACCTGGCGGCGCCCCCCGACCCCCGATTTCAGTGTTCACGCCGACGCCGGCGTCTTCGAGTTTTTCTTCGGACCCCGCCGGCCGCGATGCGCCTGTCGATGAACATTGAAATTTGGGAGCGACGGGGGTGGAAAAAACTTGCGTTCAATTTCGACGAGGGTTGTAGGTCGGGCGTGTCCCCCTACAGGCAGATTTTCGACGGCAAAAACAAATAGTTCCCCCCCATAAAAAGAGAAGGAGAAGGCTTGCAGTCGGACTTGATGAGGCAGGGCACGCGAGAGGACACAAGAGCCTTTCCGAGGGACACATTGCCACAGGAATGTCGGCGGCATGGGCCGCGAGGCACAGGACACAAGGGTATCCTTGAGCTTCGGAGGCCCGCGCTGGACTTTGCGGCGCTGGAGAGCCCCGCCCCGGGCGTGCACAGCGCGCCGCGGGCGGCGCCCGGCGGCGGCGCCGCCACGCGGGGGCTCCGGCGCCGATCCAGGGAACAAGAACAAACCTTCGAAACAGATTCAGAAGATGCCCAAATGATACTCAACAAATCATCCCGACTATGTTTCGACTGTCTCTGAATATATAGTCCCCCTTTCGAGGAACAGGCCCGACTTAACTCATGGGGACCCAGACCTTTCCGAGAGCTATTTTGTAGCACTGGAGGCCTAAACACTCGAAAAAAACAAAACAAAACAAAAAACTGAGCGGAACCGCCTGTAAAACCAAGACGTGGAACAGCTCCAGGATAGGGTTTTAGGTCGGGTGCTATTTTTTTTTTGCCCTCCTGGAAGGTCAGGGCGGCGCCGACCCACGGAAGCCCCGCGGACCTCCGGGAGTCTGCGTCTGTGCCACGTCCTGCACCTCCGGTTGGCACGTCGGACCGACCCTTCGCCGGAGTGCCCTCTGGTGCAGGCCTGCTGTTATCGGGGGTGGACAGACCTCCTACCCTGACGCGTCGATTAAGGAATTGGCCGTTTTCGTTTCGCGAGAGGGCGTCGCGGCCGTCATTTTTGCGGGTCCAGGTCCGTCGATTCCGGTCCCAGGCGCCGTTTTCACTAAGGGGAGGTCTACTAAAGGGAGGTTTGTCCACCGCCGATGTTAACCCGCATCGTAAGGATGAGCACCCTTCCCAAGGGTGCCCTTGCAGCCCTGCCTCCTCGGTCCATCCTGGGCCACTTCCGCTGGCCGCGCCCCGCTTTCGGGAAGCTTCGAAAGGGGCTTCCGAGGCCCTTGCATCCTTCTAGTGCATCCTTCCTATGCGGGTTGACTGTGCCTCTGGTTGCACGCAAGAGCGACCCTCCACCGGAGTGACCCTTGGTGCGGGGCTATACTGTCAGGAGGGGAGCAACGAGCACAGACAGAAGGAATCGTGGGTTCCCCGAAACGTGCGGGAAAGCATGGGAAGTGGGGGGGGCGCGGAAGCCTCCTCCTCCTCCTCCTCCTCCTCCTCCTCCTCCTCCTCCTCCTCCTCCTCCTCCTCCTCCTCCTCCTCCTCCTCCTCCTCCTCCTCCTCCTCCTCCTCCTTCTCCCAAAAACACACGCAGAAATGATGGGGAATCCTGGGAGTTGTGTGTCTGCGCGTTGGTGCCCCCCTGGGCCCCTCTGCTTTGTGCTGGGGGCCCCCCGGGGATCGCGGGGTGCGGCGCGTGGTCGACAGCTGGCAGCCTCGGCGCTCGGCCCCCCCTCGCCCTCCGGGGGGCCGCGATGCAGAGGCTCAGGCCGTGGCGAGGCGTCCTGGCGTGCCCATACAGGCTCCTCCCCCCTCCTCCTCCTCCTCCTCCTCCCCCTCCTCCTCCTCCTCCTCCTCCTCCTCCTCCTCCTCCTCCTCCTCCTCCTCCTCCTCCTCCTCCTCCTCCTCCCTCCTCCTCCTCCTCCTCCTCCTCCTCCTCCTCCTCCTCCTCCTCCTCCTCCTCCCCCCTCCTCCTCCTCCTCTTCCTCCTCCTCCTCCTCCTTGGAAGCCCACCCCCCTCGCTCCGGCAGTGGCGAGGCGTCCTGGCGTGCCCATGCACGTTGTCCATCTCGAATTCTTGGAAGATGCTTTGATTTTTTGGGGGGCCAGGGTCCTTTCGTTTCTGATGGTTCTGTCCCGGGCCTCTTCCTGGCCACCAGGGGGCCAGGAACATGTAGAAACGAGCACAGTTAGGAATGAGCACGATTAGAAGTGAACGACGTACGTGTAGACCTACCGAACAATGTTCTAAGAACCTTTTGTGGTTTCCACGGGATGTTCTTGCAGCATTTCTGGCGGGGAGTGTCTCGTCTGTCAAATCGGGCTCATGTTCCAAGAGCAATATGTTGTGCTTAGAACATGTTTGAGTTCTAAGAGCGTGTCGTGGCAGGCCTATAGACATGCTGGGACGGTCGGTCCCTGCTCAAGAGTCGCTCCTGCCTTAGGTCGGACTTTGGAGCGCATACACTACCAGTGGTGGGCCGATGTTCCACCCCAGGCCTTTCTGAGTGGTCGGGGACGGCGTCGGGGTGGTGCCTGCTTCTCTGTTCCCGTCCCCCCGGGGACGCAACGACAGATGTGCACACCAGGATCCCGCAGGCACCAGGCCTCGTGCAACCTTCGGTGCAGGGCCAGACAGCGCTGGCGCATGGAGTTCGGCGCCCTCTCTGCGGCCGCTCTCGCGTGCAGCCGCTGAGAAGGCGCAGGGGCCCCTCGGAAGGCCCCATGGGGGCTTCAAGGAGGCCTCTCGGAAGGCGGGCGGGCGTCTCAGGGACCCCCTTGCCTTTTTAGTCTGCTCCGCCGCCTCCCCCCCCCTCCTCCTCCTCCTCCTCCTCCTCCTCCTCCTCCTCCTCCTCCTCGTCCTCCTCCTCCTCGTCCTCCTCCTCCTTCTTGGAAGCCCACCCCCCTCGCTCCACTCCCCGCAGTGGGCGCCGCACCACGTCGGCACACTGTGCAGGACGAGCACCTGGTGAAGTACACGGCGGAGGACGCGAAGAGGAGGGCTCCTGCCTGGGCACGAGCTGCTGGGCCCTCTCTGGACGAGGTGCGTGCGAAGTGGCGGAAGCAGGATGCACCCCCAGGGCTCGAGTATGCTCGGCGCGGCATCCCTGACAAGGCGGACACCAGCAACCTGTCGGCGCTGCTTGTCCTGGAGCTGACAGCGGAAGAGGATGTCGATGCGGCCGTGTGCCGAGTGCTTCCGGCCCTCTCCGACGTCTTGTATCCAATCCTGGTGCATTGCATACACGAAAGAAGACAGTCTTTTGTCAGAGGCCGGCCCTCGTCAGGCAAAGCGTTCCGAGTGGAGGCAGACTTGGATTCCGCCGCCAAGTATCAGTCTGTATTGGATTCCTGGTTGCAGCAGCGACCGGCACCACCATCGGATGCGCTTGAGAGAGCGGCCCTCTTCATTCGTGATGTCGCCGATGGTGTCGCGCGACCAACCACCAGGAAGTACAGCAGAGACGATAACTCAGTACGTGAAGCCATCCGGTCGCAGAGTCTGAATCAGACAGACTTGTTACTGTTGCAGAAGCTCGCCTCCGATGTGCTTGCTGATATCGAGGCGCCTCCGTGCACAAAGTTTCAGTCCCTCCGCGTCGCTTTGAGGCACATCGAAGGATGCCTGGCTGAGTGCCTCCCTCTTGCCCCGCCACAGTGACAACGCGCCCTCGGCTGTTCTGGCCCCGTCTCCCTCCCATCCTGCCCCGCCCACTCGCCACCCTCCGCATCCAGACCCTGCTCTGCCCCTGCTCCCACTGCCTCTGGTCCTCGTCCTTCTTCTCCCTCCCTCCCCCTCCCATCCCTGCTCCCTCTGCCCTGCCTCCCCCCGCGCCCCTGCCTCCCTCCGCCCCCCACTCTCTTCCACTCTGCCCCGGACTCCTCCGCCCTCCCAGGCAGGCCGCGGGGCGCGAGCGCGAAGCGTCAGTGGGCCGAGCGGATCGGCCCGCACCCCCGCGCCCACGGGAAGGGCCCAAAGGGAGTGGTCTGCGACGAAGGCCCCAGAGAGTCTGGTAACAAGAGAGAGAGAGAGAACAAAAAAAGAGAGAAAGAAAGAAAGCAGGCTCATGAACGGACTCATCGCCCTCCTCCTTGTACTCGCGGAGGCCCTGTGGCTTGTGCAGGCGGACCGCGCACCGCTCGGCCTCCGCACCTCGCAGCCTGAAAAGTAGCCCTGCTGCTCTCTGGCTCCTGCGGTCCGGAGTGTATTGTCTTTTCTGCCGCCGTAAACCTCGATGTGGTCCAGGAGGAGGAGGAGGAGGGAGCATAGAAGGAGGCGCACGATAGGGATGAGGCCAAAGCCCCACCCAGAGGAAGCCAGACATTTGAACACATACTGACACAATGGATGTCATGCTTTTGTCGTGCTACTTGTTTACGCGCTGTGTCCCAGGATAGACTAGTCCTGCTCTGGAGTCTGTACGATCGGTCATTCCACCCCCGATTATGCTGCGAGATACCATGCTCATCCTCAGCATCATCCCGCTCCTACTGCTTCGGTTGTTGCCGCTGCTGATCGTCCATCCTTCATTATCACATCTACCCTATTGTCTTCCAGTCTTATGTATGATCAACCCTCCATGCGTAATAATCCATCCTTCGTCCTGCTGCTGCTGCTCCTCCTCCTCCTCTTTCAGGCCAGATCGAACATGGCGGAATGCTTCCCCTCTTGCTCCTCGTCTGCGCCTCCTCCGCCAAGGCAGAGGAGACGGGACAGCACTGGGGAGGAGGAGCAAGAGGGACAACCTACGAGGGTGAGCGGCGGACTGTGGCAGGAGGAGGGGTCAGAAGGAGGGGTTGCGGCACAGGGCGCGCGTGGCGTCCGTGCTCCGTGCGTTTGGCCAGGGGGGGTAGCGGCGCGCTCCTCCTCCTCCTCCTCCTCCTCCTCCTCCTCCTCCTCCTCCTCCCTCCTCCGCCTCCGCCTCCGCCTCCGCCTCCTACTCCTCCTCCTCCTCCACCTCGCTCCTCCTCCTCCTCCTCCTCCTCCTCCTCCTCCTCCTCCTCCTCCTGCTCCTCCTCCTCCTCCTCCTCCTCCTCGTCCTCCCCCCTCCCCACCCCAGCCACACGTGGGGGTGCCCGGGCGACTGCACGGCGGAGGGTGGGAGACGCGGGCTCGTGGAGGGGCCGTGCTGGGAGGGGGTACCTCCTGCCACGTGCCTCGTCTCGGGTGGGCGAGGAGCCGCCCCCGAGTGCGGCCGTCCGCCCCCCCCCCCCCGTGCGTGCACTCGTACGGGTGCCCGCCTCTCCCGCCGCTCTGCCCCTCTCGTTCCCCGTCCGCCTCCTCTCCCTCTTGTGCGTGTGTTTGTTCCCTGTTTTCTCCTCCCGGCCTCGTTCTGATGCTGCGCCCCCCTTCTCCTCCCCCTTCTCTGCGTAATTCAAGCTCTGCGCGGCCCGCTTTGCTTCGACCAGAAGAGTTGCGCCCTCGACCCGCGAATCAAAAAGTGTGTTTGTTCCCTGTGTTCCCCCGAGGTACGGCCAGCCCGGCGTATGGGATCGAGGTCGGTTCGGGGCATGTGCCCTCATGTTCTTCGTGTGTGTATGTATGTGTGTGTGTGTGTTCGATGCTCTTGTGCGTCCCCGGGGAGGGTACCCTCGAGTGACCTTTATTGTGGGGGGTGGTTCGGCCGGTGGAGGGCCTCATGTTCTTGAAGGATGTTGTGCTGCCCTAGGTCTCGCTGTATCCAAGTAGATGGGTCGGTGGTTGATTGTATGCGTGTGTGCATATGTGGGTGTATGCAGATGTTCACACATATATATATAGAGAGAGAAGGAGGGAGGGAAAGAGAGAGAGAGAGGGAGGAAGGGAGGGAGGGAGGGAGGGAGAGAGAACGAGTGACTCCGTGATACCTGAACCAAATCACCAATTACGTTGTCGGCTGAGGCGTGAGCCATGTCCTCATGTCGATCGGTGTTTGGGACCGAGAGGTCGAAGCATTGACATACTCTTGCAATTAAAAAGCCATTTGTATATGGGGCACCCCGTACTTTAAAGCACAAGTGCCAGTCGCTGAATGATTAGATGGATGAATCGCCTGTCTTGTTGGTTGGATCGGGTGCTAGACACAACCATGCATTCAGACAACTAGTTCTCTTTAAGTCTGTGCAGCCAGAGCATCTCATGAGCCTGGTAATTTACTCATAAGGCAGTTGTTTGGGCATCGACCTATTTGATTGTTTGGGCATCGACCTATTTAATCAGCTATCCAGACACCTAATTAACAGGAGATTTAACAACCTAACATCTGGACCACCGATTCAAACATTGACGGTCCAAGTGATGGCCTATTTGAAAAAACGGCGAATATTGCGATCTACATGCGTGCATCGCCAACGCTCTGGCGACTGATCCAACTACCGAGGCAACAGACAACTGCAGGGCAACCGCACGGGACAGCCACGCAACAACAACGAAACAGTTGCGGGCTAGCCACACGCGGCAACCGCAAAGGAAAGCCCTACGTGACAACCGCGCGGGATCACCATTGGGACAACTACACGGACCAACCGTGGGACACCCCGTGGTTCACCGTCTTTCGCAGAAGACAAGGCACGCGCGTATAGTTTGCAGTTAGCTACGGCCGGCGCTCCCCTCTCGCACGAATCCACGCGGCTTGGGCTCGCCCACACGCATGGCACAACAGGAGCCGAACCGAACCGACAGCGAATCCGACTCCCCGTCTGGTTTTCTCCCTTTCTTCTGATAGATCCAGTCGGACTCTGATCATACCTGTCTTGCGCGCAAGGCAACCAGACGATGGGGCGCTTGTGCACACATCTCCGCGATATATGTGTGTATGTCATATGCAAAGCGTATCAGTCAGACGAGAGAGTCTTATACGTGCGGAGAGAGAGAGAGAGAGCGAGAGAGAGCGAGGGACAGAGCGAAAGAGAGAGAGAGAGAGAGAGAGACATGGAGAGGGCAAGAGGGTGGACGAGATAGAGGAAGACAGAGAGCGAGAGAGAGAGAGAGAGAAACATAGAACTGAAGGGAGAGGGGAAATATTGCAGCGAGGCAGAGAGAGAGGACGAGAGAGAGAGAGACAGAGAAAGAGAGATAGATAAGTCGCCGCTGAATATTTTCACAGACATAGACGTTCACATGCATGCAGCACGCCCTTACGAACTCTGCGCATCTGCAGACACGCTTGCAAGTGGGTCCACGGATGGCAAGCGGACAAGGGGCAATCATGCTCAACCGCGTTCGTGAACCTGCAAAGGCAGACAGACACTCGCGCGTGTGGGTAAATGCCGGCAGGGGGGCATTTGCGCACAGCATGTACAGCGCACGGCGCGCGCGCACACACACACACACACACACACACACACACACGCACGCACGCACGCACGCACGCACGCACGCACGCACGCACGCACGCACCTTCACGCCGTGTGCTCCCAGGCCAAGGAGGGCCCGGCGAAGGGCACCCGCTACGCGCTGAAGTGCGTCAGTGCCCCCGACCGCGCGGAAAACGTCGGGAGGGCCGCCGAGGAGAGGCGCAGGAGGAGGGTATAGGGGAACAAGAAGCGACATAAACATAAAAACTCGGAGGTCCGCGCGGATTTCAGGGCGCCTCTTATAGGGCGCCTCTTATGGTTTTTCCCCAGATTTCAGGGCGCCTCTTATAGGGGAAAAAAAAGTGGCATAAACATAAAAACTCGGAGGTCCGCGAGGATTTCTCGGATCGGCGCTGGACCCCCCTCCCTGGCGCGCGGAGCGCGCCAGGGGCGGCGCCGGAGGCGCCGCCGGGGGGCCCCAGCGCCGATCCGAGAAATCCGCGCGGACCTCCGAGTTTTTATGTTTTTGCTACTTTTTGTTCCCCTAGAGGGGTGTGTGTTGGGGGGAGGAGGAGGAGGAAGGCAAGGATGCAGGGCGAGGAGGGGAAGGAGCTCGCTCTGCTCTCACCCATTCAGTTTATTTCAGCTCGATCGCGCTCTCTGTGAACGGGGGGGGGGGAGTGCAACGAATCTGTGCCCCTTTCTGCCTGCTAGCTCTGATGAGCCACACACGAAGGCAGATGCATCGGCTTGCTGCCTGCGCGGGGGCCTGGCGGTTGAGCGCAGAATGACAGGGCACACAAATTCGAGGGAAGGGGGTAGTTCAGCCTGTTCCAGGAGGTCTCAGGGCAGGAGAAGAGAGCAGATGGAGAAGAGGAGGCGATAACGGAGAGGGGGGTGAGAGACCGGAGGAGGGGGAGGCGGGGGAGGAGGAGCGATACATCTATATATATATACAGAGAGAGAGGGAGAAAGAGAGAGGAAGAGAGAAAGAGAGAGAGCGAAAGAGAAATGGAGAGAGAGAGAGAGGGAGGAGACATAAAGAGAGAGAGAGAGAGAAAACAAAAAAAGATGGGGAGTAAAGGAGAGGGAAAGGGGGGCGGGGGGGAAACGGGAAAGGGGGGGAATCGGAATGTGGAGGGGGGGCAGGGGGAAGGGCGCAGGGAAGGGAAGGGGGCAAGAGGAGGGAGAAGGAAGGGTAGGATGTTGGCTCTTCGGAGGAGATGAAAAAAGTAGAAGGAGGAATATGACCCGATCCAGAGGCCGAGGGACGAGGGTAAGGAAATGGAGAAAGACAAGGTGATGTGAGGAGCAGCGGATGGAGGGTAGGAGGCGGGGGGGGAGATGGATGAGAAGTAGGAGTGGGGGAGGAGGACATGGCGCATGAGACGGAGGAGAAAGATGTGCGAAAGCAGGAGCGGTGGGGAGTAGGATGAGGGTGAGGGGGTGGTGCAGGGGCCTTCATGTTTTTCAAGATATCAGGGGAGTGTACGCTCTGTCACGAGACGGTACCCACCAGCCGACCCTACGAAGTTTACCATCCGAGGGCCCGTTTTCTTGTAACTCCGGTGTTTTACTATCCTGCCCCAGACTTTACACATGTGGCCTCTTTCTTGGGAGAACGGGGATGTATTTCTATTATCCGCCCCTCGAGCTTAAACGTGCACTGCTCTCTGTTGCTTGGCCGCACTAGTTTGACGCTAGAGCCGCCCAGCACAGCTGACCGCTTTCCGAGATGAACCGCTGGTCGCCCAGCACC